TTGGAAATGGTCAGATTCCACACTAGCCATTTCTTCCTCTTTCCTCACAATATTTATGAGAACTGACCTTCCAGTGGAAATTTGGCAAGATTTCACATTCTGGAGACGTTGTACCTTCCTCCACATGCCCTGAGGGCTGAGGTCATGGGCTTCCCAGAAGATCCAGCAGTTCCCCATGCATGCAGGAGGTGCACAGGACTGAGAGGAGAGGGGCCCAGCAAGAACTCCTCAGCTGTAGGCTTGTCCTAAAATATTGATATTGTTAGAGCCCCATCCTGCATTAGAACATAAGTTCGGGAATAGGCCAGGCGCAGTGGCTCATGTCTAATTCCAGCACTTTGGGATGCTGAGGCGGGTAGATCACTTGATGTCAGGAGTTCAAGACCAGCCTGGTCAACATGGTGAAATGCTATCTGTACTAAAAATTCAAAAATTAGCCAGGCATGGTGGTGCACGCCTGTAACCTCAGCTACTCCGAAGGCTGAGGCATGAGAATCACTTGAACCCGGGAGGCGGAGGTTGCAGTGAGCCAAGATTGTACCGCCATGCACTCCAGCCTGGTGACACAAGAACTGTTTTAGTTGTTCACCACTATGTCCCCAGTGCCTGGCACATAGTAGGTATTCAATATATATTTGTGCAATGAATGGAATGAACCTTCCTCAATAACTCTCAAAGGCTCTTCATTGTCCATAGGCTAATTCCTTGAAGGTCACAGCTCACAGAAACTTACAGAACATCCTAGGCCAGATATTTAAACCTCCACCGGAAGCAGCTTCTCAACATTGCCTCCTAAGAGTTCAGGCCACAGAGATAAGCTTCTGCAGAGAGGCCAGGGGGAGATTTAAGCCTGTGAGTTTTCTAGGGGTCAGGAGGATGAGGATAGAGGCCTTGGCTATGGCCATCAAGGGTGATGTGATGTGTCTCAGAGTAGCTGCCTGTGCTCTAAGTGTTATGTTGTGTGTAGCTCTCAGGACATTCTTCTGCTAATCCTGCCCTAATCGCAAGCTGGCCCCCGGCTCCCTGAGCCAGGTGCAGAGAGCAGCATCTGAGAGGACGACATTCATCCTGTCTATAAGCAGCTCTTACCTGATGGCTCTTAAAACAATAACAAAACACACCCATACAAGACACCACCCACAAATTCGCACTCACACAATGCACCAAAACAACCACAAAAAAAACAGCGGTCTCTGACCCAGTAACAGAGGCCAATATGCAAGGCAGACTTTGATAAGTACCATCGGTTTGTAGCTTAATGTTTGGGGTGCAGACCTTTGAACCCAACCTGCAAAAGAAGTCCTTTCTGCCCCATCCATGAGCCCCTGCAGCCCATGAGCCCCCAGAACTCCTCTCCCTACGCAGCCGCTGGGAGACGTTGACTGTTTTCTTCTCACGCCCCCACAGATGTGGCCTTTTCCTCTGCCAGGAGTGGCTCTCGGGGGCTGAAGAGGACATTTCTTGTTCTGTACCTGTTTCCTGCTTCTGCTGAGGGCAGGGCTGGGGCCTTCCACCCAAAACAGACTCAGACCCACCCAGCCAGAGGAGGGGTTGACAGCTTTGGGGGAAAAGTCAGAATTCCGGATCTTGTGAATCCAGACGTCCTGTAAACTCTGAGCAGAGGATAAACATCCCGCGGGACTGAGGGGAGGACACTCCAGTGGGCAGGGGGCCTGGCGCCTCTGTCTGCCCTGGAGACAGGCTGTTTATTCCATGTCCCCCACAGGCTCTCTTGCACTCCTTCCTGTCCCAGGTCTGGGTGAGTTACAGCAGGCCTGACAGCCCCACATGGGAGCCTGAGGTCTTGGACATCAGCTCTGGACCTCTCAAGGCTGGAAGGGAACTTTAAAAGCTCAAAAACCGGCCACGTACGGTGGCTCACGCCTGTAATTCCAGCACTTTGGGAGGCCGAGGCGGGCAGATTGTAAGGTCAGGAATTTAAGACCAGCCTGGCCAACATGGTGAAATCCCATTTCTACTAAAAATACAAAAATTAGCTGGGTGTGGTGGCACATGCTTATAATCCCAGCTACTTGGGAGGCTAAGGCAGGAGAATTGCTTAACAGGGACCTGGGAGGCGGAAGTTGCAGTGAGCCGAGATCACGCCACTGCACTCCAGCCTGGGCTACAGAGCGAGACTCCATCTCAAAAAAAAAAAAAATGCTCAACAACCCCTCCAGCCCGCAACACACACCTGGGCCACTCCTTCCTCTTCCAGAGCCTCCTGGCTGGTCTTCTGGTCTCTGCTGATAGATCACTCTTTTCCAGGGCAGTCCATTTTATTTCTGGGACTCTCTGGCAGTTAGAAAGTGCTAGAATTGAGCTTACTAGAATTGCTCTGTGCCACCTGATTGGGAAGAACTAAGAACAATGTATATGACAAAATAATAGCAGGGCCATTCCCTGTGCCAGGCACTTGCCACACGTAATCTTGTTAACTCCCCACCTCCCTTTCAAGGACATAGGCTCAGGGAGGTTAGGTCACTTGCCCAAGGTGACTTAGCTGCTACGTGGCAGGGATGAGGTTCAGGGCACTCTGGTTCAAAGTCTGTGCTTTAAATATTAATCTATACTGGCTCTTCATAATCAAAAAGCAAAAATAGCACATACACCCACAAAAACACTATACAACAAACTCAGGCACGTATAAAACCAAACCAAACTAGAAAATATCAGCCTAAACTTGCCAAATATTAAGTACCATTATGTACCAGGCAAACAATAATTGTAATGATTAATGCATTTTAACAACCCCATGAGGAAACGGAGGCCCACTGAAGTGAGGGGGGTGGACATGACCATATAATAAGGGGCAGGGCAAATGTCCAACCACGATTGCCTGAAGTCTGCAGTCTTTTCCCCACAGGAGGAGGGCTTCTGCAAAATAAAAAAGAAAGCTTTTATAATTATAATTATTTTCAACAACCAGAGTTTTAAAAACTGGACTGTGCATCCTCAGAGAGAAATGATATTCCTAGATTGATGGTTCCCAGCAAAGGCACTTAGTGTTCCCGCTCTGCTAGGGGCTGGATGAGGTATCCCCTACCCCTGATGGCCTAAGGGTGGTGAGTGCTAACAAGAGACTTGGCACAGTGTAGAGTCAGTCTGCAACCCAGTAACACAGACTTGGTGTTTTCAAGTCTGGATGCTGTGCAGAAGAGAGGCCTAGGCGACCCAGTCACCAGTGAACAAGACCACCTCTTGGAGTCCTACCCCAACTCACATTTCTTTGACATCCCCCTGTGGGGAGGAGACGCTGGCACCTGGCCTGGGCAGAGGGTCATGTTGACGTGGCAGCCCCTCTGCACACCCCAGGGGCCGCCCATTCACCCAGGCCTTTCCCTTTTTTGAGAACTGGGAGCTTGCTGGCTGGGGCTGTTCCCACCAACAGTGTTCCCGTCCAGGGATCTTAAAATAGCCCCTCTTGGCTGGGGCTCCGGAGTGAGCAGTGAGGCAGGCATTTGTGCAAATATGGGCCTGGGAGAAGGACTCCTACCAGGGAGGGAGAGGAGGGCAGCATGGCAAGAGAGCCAGGACCTCCCCAGGGGGCTGCACCCTCCTGGCCGCAGCCAGCAACGGCGCCGGCTAGCCTCTTCCCGTCTTCCCTGATCTTACTGGGTTCACTTGGGCGAGTTCTTAGACCAAATCCTTCCGGTCCCCCTGGCCTTGCCAACGCTCTAGGGTGGACCCACTGGAATAGGCACCTTTGCATTCTTCTGCTGGTTCTAGCCGTGTCCCCACTTCGTAATGCCCTTCCTCCCTAGGAACATACTAGAAGCATTCTTGAAGGCCCAACTCAAAACTCGTTTTAACTGTAGGAATGACGGTTGCAGCTACCATTAATGGGGTACTTACTTTTACCAGGCACTGTGCTAAGCGCTTTAACATGCATTATCTCATTTGATCCTCACAACAATCCACTGAGAGCCAAGTTATTATTATCTTCACTTTGCAGAAGAAACTAAGGCTCAGAGAAGTCAATTAACATTCCCAAGATGACACAGCGGTGAAGGGGCAGGGCTGAAACTCAGGCCAGCCCATCTGTGGAGCCTGACCTCTGCCCTCCTGGCTGCACTCCTTCTCCATGTCCCTCTGCTCTGGCCTCCTCCTCTGTCCCAGCATGGCCTTCCTGTATTATAGTCAGTTTGATTCAATTTATCAATATTTTAGTTCACATACCAGGAATGCTGTTGGGTGCCCCACGACCCCCCTGGTAGCTCTCGGATCCCCTTGATGACTTGGGCTTGGGCATGGGTCTAGTGAGCACCCGAACCTACTGGGTTCAGGTTGTTTGAGGCCGTGGGTCAAGGCTGAGGCCACCATAGACCGTGTTCAATGACCAGCTGACCAACTGGACATTCCCACTCCACCACTGGCTGCCGCCCCTCTCCTTACCCCACCGCAGGGAGCAGTGTGTGCAGGAGTCAGACAAACTTGCTGTGAATCTTCTGTGACTGTGGGCAAGTGACTAACCACTCTGAGCCTCAGTTTCCCCATCTGTAATTCAGAATAAAACTAGAACCTCACCCAGTGTTATTTGGAGGATTTCATGAAGGATTTAGCTTAGGGCCCGGCAGTCAGTAAGTGGATATTAAGCAGCAGTTATTATTGTTACTGTTATTTTCTGTAAATTAAGGTGTCCAGGTGCCAAATGCCTGAGGCCTGGCACACAGCAGCTGCTCAAAGTAAAGACAATCACTCACTCAGCAGACAGAAGCCCCCACCCGACTCCTGGCCGGCTGTGTCATTCCTGGCCGGCTCTGATGTCTTCTAGGCTCTGGTCCTCATCAACAAAAGGGTCACTCTGGAAGCCAGGCACAGGCGCAGGGCCCCACCCACTCGCCCCATCCCCTCATTCTCGGTCCCGGGCCGCTCCTGGAGAAAGAGGTGGCAGAGTCCAAGTTCCCTCAGGGTCGGCACATTTTTCAGGGTTGGCTGGCTTTCTCGTGGCGCCACCTGCTGGTGAGTGCAGCACTGCTCCTGACGGGGCCTGCCGTAGAGGGCTCTGAGTGAGACATTGGCCACCCACTGCTCCTTCCCCTGTAGCTCATCTGCCCAGTCCTTCATTCACGCGTGACGGCCACCCTCTGCGTGTAAAGACCCAAGGACCCCAGCCTCGCTTGTGGGGTGGGAGCCCTGGAAGCCCAGTTCCTGCACCTCCCTCTCAGGCCTGGCACTGAGTCCTGGGGCTGGGTACCACAAGCCTGCTTGGGTGCACACTCAGGACATCGAGAAGGGCAGATGACCCTCCAGGGGTTTCTAGAAACCAAGGCTGGAAGAAAGGGTCTCCCTCCTGGTCTCAGATGGCCAGGAATGGGAAAACCAATGACTGTTGCTGGGCCCATGCCTGACTCCTCACAGCATCTGCCAGGAGACCCCAAAGCTCCCCTCCCCACTGTGAAGGATCTGGGGCCCCCACAAGGACTGGCCTGGCTCTTTGGTCTCTGCCAGACCAGCAAGGAGGCCCAGCCTGGCTCGGAGCTGTTTGTATAAAGTCTGAGGGAAGAGCAATGAATGACTTAGGAGATGGAGTTCTGCTCCCAGCTCTGGCACAATCACACTGTGCGAGCTGGGGTAGGACCCTCCCTTACCCAAGTCTCCTTGAAGTGAAATGGGTGGGAGGAGGGGGCCAGATGATGGGTGAGGACCCGTGTCGCTCAGACTGGGCTCGTGCTAAGATGCAGATGTTTGCGCCGCTACTTCAGCATCTCTGGGGCCGGGAGCCTGAAATCTCAAGTACAAGCTCTGCAGCTGGAGCCGGGGAAGCTGACAAGTAAGTCCTGGCTTGGGGAGGCAGAAGTGAAGGGTGTGTATTCCCAGCAGGTAAGGAGAATGTGTTGGTTTCAGGGGTCTCCCATACCCCAGGATCCATCTTTTAATTTGCCACTGTTCTGTGGATATGGGAGGGTCACCCCAGTTGCATGTCTGTGGGACCCCACCGCTAGCAACAGCAGAACGCGTGCAGAGAGCCAGCGCAGAACACAGCCAGGCCGCCCCTCCGATGGGGCTGGGGCCGGGACAGCCTGCGGTGGGGGCGGGGCCCTTGTTGCCTGAGGAGGTATTTTCAGAGTCCCCCTCCCTCTGGAGTTTCCAACGATAGAATAGAGCCCTGTCTAGTATTTGACCAAATATGGTGGCATCTCTCATGCTCGAAGCCCCAGCCAGCGTCTCAGTTATGCTGTGGAAGCCTGCCCCGGACAGATTAATCTTGTGACATTCAGGAGTGCCTCTCACCCTGCGTTCTTCCCCTCAGACGATTCCTGTAAATGGCCAAGACCGGCCCTCAGCACGACAGGGCCATCCTCAGTCTCTGTTCACAATGTCCCTCCTCTGTCCTCCTCACATTCCCTCCCGCCATTCCTACCTCCCTGGGTGGATGTGCCCGCTCACGTCGGGCTGGGCTGTTCACTTGAGGTGAGAGACACTGGCCAGAGGAGCTGGTCAGTTGAGCACGTGATTCCAGGACCTTTGACCCTGGGGTCATCTGACCTCACAAACTTGTGGCCTGAGTCTTGGAGGCCTAGACCTCTCTCAGCAGCCAGGAGGGTGGGCCTGAGGGGGTTGAAGGGAGAGTCAGTAGAGAAATGAGAACCATGCTACCTCTAATGCTAATTAGAACAGCTAATGTTTATAATAATCATTATACAATTATTTTATAATAATCTATAATAAACAGCTAAGTGTTTATTGAGCACTTACTATGCGCTAGGTACTGTTGCCGGCTATTTAACATAGGTTATTTCCTTCATTCCTTCTAGCAGCTTTAAGAGGGTGCCATGATTCTTCCCATTCTAGAAAGGTGGGAACTGAGGCTCAGAAAGATTTCAGGAGGGAATGGGCCAGGCCACCTTCTATTTCTGGGTACACCCACCATTTTACAGAGGAGGGAACTGTGGCTGACAGTGAAGCTCACATGTAGCCACACAGGCTCTGAGAGTGGAGACCACCCCAGGAGGGAGAGTGCTGTGTCAGGAAGGCCAGAACAATCAGCCATAAGTCCTCATGGATCTGAAACTTGGCCTGAGTGAGGGCATACAGCTTCAGAAATATGTTCACAGCAGGCTGAAATTGTGCAGAAAATATCCCAAGAAAAACAACATGGGGTGGTGGATAGAATCCTGGATGGGGACAGGGTGGGAATAACAGCTCTGACACCTCTAACTCACTGTTAATAGTGACAAGTCCCTTTCTGGCTCCAGCCTCAGTTTCCCTGACTGTGATCTAGAGGGGCTGGGCTTTGGTCTCCTAGGGCTCCTGAACTCACCTGGGGCCGGCAGAGGCTGGAGTGCCTGAGGCTGTTTCCCTGGGAGATGGGGCCTGTGTCCCGCTTCTGGCCAGCACAATTTGAGAACATTTGCTCTCCTGACCAACCAACGGCCCATCCCTCCTCCACCCTCAACCCCTTGCCATCCCCAAAGCAAACGAAGCTGATTGTCTTAGCTGGCCCTGTGGGTGCTGGCTGGGCGGCCGGCCGCAGGCCACAGGCGGAGGTGCCACCAGCCAGAGCCCCACCAGACACACAGGGCATTGTCCCTCGGTCAACAGCCCCTGGGCACCTCAGCCCAGCTCCTGGCCTGCCCCCACGCCCCTCACTGTCTGCCACTGCGCTAGGCTCAGCCAGCTGGGGGCCCAAGGCTCCCAGCTGATGACGAGCCCACCCACTCACTCCCCCAGCAGCCCCCAGTTGAGCTATAATTGCTTCGCTCCATCCTGCTGCTGCCATTTTCTCGGCGGCATCTGGGGTTCCGGGCGGGCAGCAGCTGCAGGCTGACCTTGCCGCTTGGCGGAATGGACTGGCCTCACAACCTGGTATGTGGAGCTTCCCTGCCGCACCCCCACCCCTTTTTAGAGCCCGAATATGTCAGTTTTTCTTTCCTATTGATTAATGGCTGCCTCTGTTTGGTTTGGAATCTGCAGAGGCAACTTCTCTGTCTTCTCCCCCAGGACTAGAAAGAAACAGAGACTGGTCACTGTAGCCATGGCCAGCAGTGCAGGCTCCTGAACGGGGCTCAGCCGGGGCACACTGAAGCCTCTTCAGACCAGAGGCGTCTGGGGAGATCCCGGCAAACTCAGTCAGCGGGGTTTTCCCAAACAGACCTGGCTTCTGAGGTCCTGGCTGTGTGACCTTGGACAAGTCCTTCTATTTCTCAGTGTCCCATCTGGAGAGTGAGGGAGGGGGACTTTGATTCTATTCTGTTTCTCCGAGTGGAGAGCCAGAGTTTAAGAATGCCCTGTGAGAAACTCTGATGAGAGAGCCTATTGTTAGGGAGACATTTTTTCTGCACTAGAATCTAGGACCAAAAAGGAAGAATTTAGCAACTGGAATCTCTGTTGCAGATTTTGCGCCAGCAAATACCTCTGCCAAGAGGGGCTCTGCTGAAACTTGTTTCCTAGAGTCAAGACTTGCTGGGTAGCCTGGATAAAGCAGGCATGGGCCATAGGGCTGTGGGGCTGTGAGCTGAGGCATACAGGGAACATATGGAGCCTATCTCAATGTAGGAGGAGTCAGAGGTGCCTCCATCCTGGGAACTCTGCCTCACACGCAGGCACTGTCCCTTCTCTCTCTGGATTTCTGGGGAGTCTGGGTTCTGCCGGGCCTGAGTCCTCTTCCTTGTGAGCCAAAGGCTTTCCTGATGCTCTGGTGCTGGGAGGGAGAAGTGGATGGCAATGGGTGGGGTGTGTATGTGTGAGGAGGGCTTGGGGGATGACTGGAAGAGGGAAGGCTCAGGGGAGGAGGGCAGTGCAGGTGGACAGGACGTCCTTAGCCCACAACTTGCCCATCTTCCCAACTTCATCTCATCCCCTCTTCCTCCCACTCACTCCTAATCAACATTCCATTCCATTCAGCAAAGGTTTTCTTTCTCTTTCTTTCCTTTTCTTTTTTCTTTCTCTCTTTTCCCTTTCTCTTTTTTCTTTTTCTTTCTTTCTTTTCTTTCTCCCCTCCCTCCCTCCCTCCCTCCCTCCCTCCCTCCCTCCCTCCCTCCCTCCCTCCCTTCCTTCCTTCCTTCCTTCCTTCCTTCCTTCCTTCCTTCCTTCCTTCCTTCCTTCCTTCTCTCTAGACGGAGTCTCGCTCTGTCGCCCAGGCTGCAGTGCAGTGGCGCAATATCTGCTCACTGCAAGCTCCACCTCCCAGGTTCACGCCATTCATGCCTCAGCCTCCCGAGTAGCTGGGACTACAGGCACCCGCCACCACGCCTGGCTAGTGTTTTTGTATTTTTAGTAGAGACGGAGTTTCACCGTGTTAGCCAGGATGGTCTCGATCTCCTGACCTTGTGATCCACCTGCCTCGGCCTCCCAAAGTGCTGGGATTACAGGCGTAAGCCACTGTGCCTAGCCTCAGCAAAGTTCTTAACCAGTTCAAACCTCCTCTCTCATCTTCCCCCAACCCACCCCTCCCACCCCTGTAATACTTCAACTCCCTTAGCCCATGCCTGCCATGCCTCACCTGACAAGTCCCTTACCTAGAAAAGTTTCCCAGGCCATTGTCCCAGCACAGCTAAGCAGGAGGCCCCACTCTTCTCCAGCCACACCCTGAACGGGCCCATCCTGGACTTGTCGCTAGTGAGACCTGAGTGTTTGTCTTCTTGTTCACTGTCTTCCTTCTCAGACATAAATGACAGAAGGGCAGCGATGGGGACAGCCATTCATTTACTCAGCGAGTGTTCACTGAATGTACCACGCAGACACGGGGGATATGACAGTGTGTGGAAACAGACACATGCCCCCACGGAGTCCATGCTGAGTTGGGGGCAGACACGTAAAAGAATCGTACATACAAACTATAAGACTGAGGTCATGCAAGAGGCGTGTGGGTTATGAGAGCCCAAGAAAGTCCAGAGACATCCCTAAGAAAGCGGTGCTGAAGCTGACACACGAGGGGTGGGAAGGTGTCCAGGAGGTGAAGAGGCAGAATGCTGCAGGCAGAGGCAGTGCAAAGTCCGTGTGGCAGGAGGGAGCATGCTGAGAGTAAGACTGAGAGAAGACCAGAGGCTGGAGCACACAAGAGAGAGGAAATGGGGTAATCTGAGGAGGGAGAGCTGGGGGATGGTGGGCAGAGTCAGACTTGAGCCTGGGAGACCCCTAAGAGCAATGGGAAAGGACCATGGATCCCAAGTCTTGGCCCAGAAAGAGACTTGGCTCTCCCACCTTTGACCTGTGGCTTTCCTCCCCAGCTGTTCCTTCTTACCATTTCCATCTTCCTGGGGCTGGGCCAGCCCAGGAGCACCAAAAGCAAGAGGAAGGGGCAAGGGCGGTCTGGGCCGCTGGCCCCTGGCCCTCACCAGGTGCCACTGGACCTGGTGTCACGGGTGAAACCGTACGCCCGCATGGAAGAGTATGAGAGGAACATTGAGGAGATGGTGGCCCAGCTGAGGAACAGCTCGGAGCTGGCCAAGAGGAAGTGTGAGGTCAACTTGCAGCTGTGGATGTCCAACAAGAGGAGCCTGTCTCCCTGGGGTTACAGGTAGGCTGGGCAGTGGTGGCAAGCTGTCTTTGGGGGGCGGGGGCCTTTCCCACGCCCCAGTCATTGTAATGGTTAAGATCTCAGATTCAGAGGTCTGGGTGCTTGGGTTCGGATCCTAGCTCTGCCTCTTACTCGCCTGTGAGGCTTTGGGCAAATGGATTAGCCTTTCTGGGCCTCAGTTTCCTCAATGTAAATGGAGGCAATAGTAGTACCTACTTCAGAGTCTTATTAAATGAGATATCCATGCAGAGCACTGCCCTTATTGTTCTTCGAGTCTCCGTGGAAGTGCCTGCAAGGCTTTCCCCAGATGTCACTTCCTCTGCTCTGTGGGCCTCTGACGCCCTTCTAAGGTGTGGCACTTCCATGCAGTGTCTCATGCTGGACCTGGGCCTTCCTAGTGCCGGCATCAGAATCACCTAGGGATTCCCACGCCCAATCCAAACCTCCAGCAGCGAGGCCCAGAAAGTACTATTTCTTATAGCTCCACGTGGTCAGGGCGCACAGCAGGCTGTGATGTGGGAATCAAGACCCGCTGCCCTGGATAACGATGGCAGCAGCGTCCTCTCTTGGTTGTAGCTCCGCTTCCTTGCTCAGTGCCTAACCCACAGAAAGGACCAAAGATGAAGGAATGGGTTGACCCTGAGGTCCTCACTCACAAACCCAGGCCAGAGATTTTTCAGCCACATGACATACACCCTGAGACTCTAGAATAGCACTGTTCATCAGAATTTTCTGTGATGATGTGAAGCCAGTACGGTAGCCACTAGCCTCATGCGCCTACTGAGTACTTGACATGTGGCTACTGTGACTGAGGGATGAACTTTGATTTTTTTATTTTTTGTGTGAGACAGGGTCTCACTCTGTCACCCAGGCTGGAGGACAGTGGCATGGTCTCAGCTCACTGCAGCCTCTGCCTCCTGGGCTCAAGCAATCTTTCCACCTCAGCCTCCCAAGTAGCTGGGACCACAGGCATACACCCGCATACCTGGCTAATTTTTTTATTTTTTATTTTTTGCAGAGACAGGATCTCACTATGTTGCCCAGGCTGGTCTCACACTCCTAAGCTCAAGCAATCCACCTGCCTTGGCCTCCCAAAGTGCTGAGATTACAGGCGTGAGCCACCATGCCCAGCCTAATTAATTTGACACATGAAACTAGTGGCTACTGCATTGAACAGCGCAGCTCCAGAATGTGACCATTGGAAGGGTCAGTAAAGATCCTCCAGAATGGAGCTTTTCACATCTGACTGTGCTCATGCATCACTCAGGGATCTGACAAAAACAATGCAGCTTCAGATTTAGGAGATTCTGCATTTCTAGCAAGCTCCCAAGCATAAGGTGATGCTAATGCTGTATGTCCACAGGTCCAGTTCACCCACTTCCTTGTCCCATATTTAGTAGATGGGGAAACTGAGGTGCAGAAAAGAAGTCACAAAGCAAGTCCCTGTATGCGAGGCTCCATGAGAGCACCAGGAGGGAACTTGCCTGCTTTGTTCATCAGTGAACACCTAAAATCTAGGACAGAACTGCTCATGTGGTGAGCATGTAAGTGTTGAATAAATGGAGATTAAGTCAGAATAGAACCCAGACCTCCTGACTTCCTTGCCAGTGGAAATTAGGCATCAATAAAAATAATCCACATTTTATTTCCGTGGATTAAGTTTCCCAACAATATAAACACAGTGGGGGTGGGGCAGGCAGAGGGAGGCCTTAGGCTACTTCACGATCCCCACAGCATAACCTAGTACTGGGGTGGGCATCTGGCTGCATGAAAGAAGGAAGCTGGGTGACTGGTGACCTTGAAGCTGGATAACCTTGGGGCTCTCAACTTGCCTTCCATGATCTTCAGTTTCCTCGTGTGGAACACGGAGTTGATTACTGCCTTTCCTCCAGCCCAACACAGTCTTGCTGTGGAAATTAAAACTTTGATTAGGAAAGGCAGGGGTGTGGGGTATGGGTGATGACTGGCCCTTTCTTGGTCACCTTCCGCTCTGCTCTTTCTCCTGCTCCCTACAGCATCAACCACGACCCCAGCCGTATTCCCGCAGACCTGCCGGAGGCACGGTGCCTGTGTCTGGGCTGTGTGAACCCCTTCACCATGCAGGAGGACCGCAGCATGGTAAGCGTGCCGGTGTTCAGCCAGGTGCCTGTGCGCCGCCGCCTCTGCCCGCCATCGCCCCGCACAGGGCCTTGCCGCCAGCGTGCGGTCATGGAGACCATCGCCGTGGGCTGCACCTGCATCTTCTGAAGCACTTGGCCCAGAAGCCAGGCCAGCAGCCTGAGACCATCCTCCCTGCACCTTTGTGCCAAGAGAGGCCTATGAAAAGTAAACACTGACTTTTGAAAGCAAGACTTTGGGTTTGCTTCTTGTGGCTTCGAAGTCAAAACCAGGGTCAGGGTAGGAGGTTCCTGGGAGGTAGATTTCAGATTAACATAAAGGAGGATTTTTCGTCACTCTGAGTTCTCCAGGGTTCTGAGTTTCATCACTCTGAGTTCTGAGGTGGCCTATTAGAAAATAATGTGGTCACCTCTACTACTTAGGGCTATCATGTGTTTCCTTTATTTATTTATTTTGAGACAGGGTCTTACTCTGTCGTCCAGGGTGGAAGTGACCCAGTCACAGCTTACTGCAGCCTCAGCCTCCCCAGGCTCAAGGGATACTCCCACCTCAGCCTCTCAAGTAGCTGGGACTACAGGTGTGTGCCACTCCACCAAGCTAATTTTTGTCCTGTTTGTAGATACGGGGTTTCACCATGTTGCCTAGGCTGACCTTCAACTCCTGGGCCTCTTTGCAGATCAGACTTCTGCCCGCCTCAGCCTCCCAAAGTGTTGGGATTACAGGAGTGAGCCACCACACCTGGCCCATGTGTTTCCTTTTATTTGGGTTTATAAGTCTATATTTCAACCATGTTAATGTGACTTGGTTGCTATAACCAATATAGGAGTTAACAAGAGCTAACTCTACTCACTTAAGGGTCACTGGAAACAAGCTGTTTTGAAGCGGGGAGCTCCCCATCTCTGAAATTGTCAAGTTAAAGCCAAGCTTCTCAAAGGTATTATGGAGCAGATGCCTGCTCTGGTTGGAGGAGATGATCTGAAGTATTTTCAGCTCTGAGATTTCTCTGCAGATCAGACTTAGACCCAAAGAAAGGCTTCCAGGTTGCCAAAGAGCAGGTGCTTTTCACCTGGGATTGTGCATCCTTGAAATTTTTATGTATGTACTTTTTCGGAGCTGAGGATTCCTGGTTTTGAACAGACACTCTTAAGTTGAGAAGTGTCATCATTCTTTCTTCCAGCCCTGTCCAAATCTCCTGGGAGCATCAGAACCTCCTGGAGGGACTGTTAAAACAGCTGGCAGGGCCCCACATCTAGAGGTTCTGATTCAGGTGGAGGCTGATACTTTGCATTTTTTTGCAGTGTTTTTCTTGCATTTCTAATATATAAATGATTGTTTCCAGGTGATGCTGGTGCTGCTGGTCTGGACACTGGCTTATATTAAGATACTCTGCTGATCAAAAATGGCAGTGTGCTGGCTTACTCCCGTCATACCAGCACTTCGGGAAGCTGAGGCAGGCGGATTTCTTGAGCCTCAGGAATTTGAGACCAGCCTGGGAAACATGGCAAAACCTCGTCTCTACAAAAAAATACAAAAATTAGGCCAGCATGGTGGCACGAGCCTGTAGTCCCAGCTGTTAGAGAGGCTGAGGTGGAAGGATCACTTGAGCCTAGGGAGGTTGAGGCTGCAGTTAGCCATGACAGTGCCACTGCACTCCACCCTAGGTGACAGAGTGAGACTGTTTAAAAAAAAAAACAAAACCAAAAGCCAAAAACAGCAGTGTGGACTGATATATCCTAAAGTCTGTGCTGTGCTGACTCGTGACCCCAGGATGCAATTCCCCACTTCCCCCTTTGTCCCCTAGCAATTCAATCTTCCCCCTGGGCCCTCTAACCCCTGCAGCAAATCCCAAATCAGCTGTTCTAGGGCCTAAAAATACCTTCTCTCCCACAAGACAGCTGAGGGGCTCAGACTATATTCTGAGGGTAAGAATAGCTAGCACTTTAGAGTTAACTTTAATAAAAGGGCCAGTGGCCCAGGGCAGGAATACTTGGCTTGGCTGCTCTAACTTTAGTGCTTAAAGCAGTTTTAGCTCTGAACGTCTTAAGGGTCTAATTCATGAAAGGCCAATGATTAGGTATGTGCCTGCCTGGGGTGGTAAGTAACTTACCTTTTTTGGTATTGTTCTAGAGTGGATACTGGTTAAAATTACCTCAGGAAGCTTCGGCTGGGTTCCAGACACATGGAAAACAGACTTCCTGTGCTAGCGCATGCTGATCCCTTCAGCAGCCGCTTCTCCACCCTTGGGGCTGCTCTCCAGGTCTTAAGACTTCAGCCCCACATGAAGGGCCCACAGCTTCCAAGCCCTTTCTGTGGGGTGAGGGTGTGGGAAGAATTGAGCTGCAGGAGGGTTGCTTGTAGTCCTGGGAGATCCTAGGTGCTCTGGGGCATAGGGGCTGGTGGGGAAACCCCTCATTGTGGTAGGAGGGGGGTGTCTTACTTCTACCCAAGCATCAGGAGCCCCCAGATGCTCCATAAACACCAGCTAGCTTCATACGGATGATGCCTTTTCCTCTTTCTGGGCTTTAGATTCCTCATCTGTGAAATGAACAAATGGGATTTGGGGATCTCCAGGGTCTTTTCCAGGCTTACCATTCTGTGACTTAAACGCTTGGCCTTGGTGGCTGGGATGGCCACTGGCGGAGCTCTGAGTCCCAGCTGGCTCTTCCCATGCTCCCAGTTTAAAGGCAGCAGCAGGAAGCTCAGATCCGTTGGAGAGCTGGCTCTACACAGCACCCTGGAACTTCCTTTGGTCTGAGTGTAAGTGTGTTTCATGTTTGCTTCCTCTAGCGAGAAGCTCGCACTCCACGAGACAGGGGCGTTATCCTTTGCTCAGCGCTGCACCTCCAGCACCTGGCAGTGTCCAGTGCGCATAGGGGCACGCTGTTTGGTGAACGAGTGCACAGACGCCTCTAGGGGGAGCCCAAGATCTGCCTCCTGCTTCCCTCTATTATGCCTTCATAGGTGGGTCAGAGCAAAGAATTCCTTACCAACCTCCCTGGTCCGCCACTGCCAATCACCCACCCCCATTCTACCCTCTACAGCTGCCCCTTATCCCCCAAATTTTGCTTGGGTCACCTGTTCCTGGAGGCAGAGTTCCCATGAAGGGTATTAAACGTCTAGTACGCTGCATCCAAGACTGAGGATGCATGGCCCTTTTCCTGTTTTGTTTGGCTGTCTTTGCAAATGCTCTCTTCTTCCAGGGGTCCGTGAGCTGCTGGGGGCTTATGTCCAGGCCTGAGAAGGCTGGGGTGAGCCCCAGGGCAAAGGCTTCCTGTTGGTTCTCATTTCTGGAATCTGTCCTTTCCTCCCTGCCTCCAAGGAATCAGGTTTGGGCTTGGGGAAGCAGGGAGTGTGGGCATTTTGCCTGGCTTTGGTTCTGAGCTCTTTGGGCCTACTCAGGTAAAGGACATTTCTGAAGGACATAGCCAGTTCCAATGCAGTCATGCTTGGGCGTGGAGCCAAAGCCCAGCCAAGGACTGAGGATCGAATGTTAACTGCCTTAATTTGTGTCTTCTGTGCACATATTCTCTGTAGGGATGCAAGGGAGGGGGTAGTTATCAGGGATAAGTTTTGTATTGTCCAGTGCTGGGTCAATATCAATTATTAATTATACCATGACAGTGCATGCCATCCTCATTTCAAACAGACCATGAAAAGATGCCATTACACACTTTGATTTCACTGGACTTGAGAGCCCTATTTGCATGTGGCTGACATTGTGCCTCTCTCTCTCCAATACCCTTTCCCCCTTTGACCTTGAAGTTTGGATGAGACCACTTCTGTTCCAGGGATAGGACCTGACTGCTCTAAGCCAATCAGCTTAATCTCACAACCTCCCTGCCTGCACCATAGTTACTGGTCTTGTATCTGAATCCCAAGCCAATCAGCATGTGCCATTCCCTTGACCACAGGAATTGGTTCAGGGGTGGTCCAACTGGCCAAGCCCCAAATCTGGTTCATTGCTTACGAGAGAAGACCTTCTCTTCCTGGGAGCTGTTGGCAGCCATCTTTGACCACGAGACAAATCACGGAACTGAGAGATTACACAGTGCTCTATGCCTAGACTTTTTTTTTTTTTTTTTTTTTTTTTGAGACGGAGTCTCGCTCTGTCGCCCAGGCTGGAGTGCAGTGGCTGGATCTCAGCTCACTGCAAGCTCCGCCTCCCGGGTTCACGCCATTCTCCTGCCTCAGCCTCCCGAGTAGCTGGGACTACAGGCGCCCGCCACCTTGCCCGGCTAGTTTTTTGTATTTTTTAGTAGAGACGGGGGTTTCACCGTGTTAGCCAGGATGGTCTCGATCTCCTGACCTCGTGATCCACCCATCTCGGCCTCCCAAAGTGCTGGGATTACAGGCTTGAGCCACTGCGCCCGGCAATGCCTAGACTTTAAAGCCATGATAACTAACAAAAACTTTTTGTTGCTTAAGTCAATGTTTTCTACTACTTCATCAAAAGCTTTCTTACTTGGCTGGGGGCGGTGGCTCACATCTATAATCCCAGCACTTTGGGAGGCCAGGGGTGGGTGGATCACCAAGGCTAGGAGTTTAAGACCAGCCCAGCCAACATGATGAAACCCCATCTCTACTAAAAATACAAAAAACTAGCCAGGTGTGGTGACAGGTGCCTATAATCCCAGTTACTCGGGAGGCTGAGGCACGAGAATTGCTTGAATCCAGGAGACGGAGACTGCAGTGAGCCAAGATCACACCATTGCACTATGGCCTGGAGAACAAGAATGAAACTCTGTCTCAAAAAAAAAAAAAAAAGCCTTCTTACTGATGTGTCAGTTTCATAATTTCTATAGTTATCGATAAGTGCATACTACTTGTACTTTCTTTCACAGCCATTACCATCACCCTGGCACAGTAAAAACCACTTCAGAGCCAGTTTGGGCCTCCACCAACTGGAAGGGTATTTTGCCCTGCATTTGGCAGTGTTGTTACTCTGGGCACCCAGGCCCTTTCCCTAAAGCCTGACTTAGCAAGTCTGGTAGGACTTCGGCATCTGCATCTTTCTCAAGGCTCCCTCCCCTTCCCCAGGAGATACTAATGTAGTGGTTGGTCCCTGGGCACCTAAGACTTAGCTCTTCCATTACAGAAAAGAAGAGGTCCAAAAGGAATGAAAAGGGCTTTTACTTTCTTTTCTAAAACAAGTGATTTTTAAGGGTTTGTAGAAAAAGCAAAGCAAAGCATAATTCTTCTCTTACTTCAAGCTAGTGTCTGATGAGAAAGTACCAGGGTAATCTCTGAAGAATCCTACCCCAACACCTTCTTTTCTTTTTCTTCTGCTGGAATGAACATCTAGGGGTGAGATATGACTGCTCCCTACCCATCTGGGGACTTGTCTTCTTTATATTGTTGCATTCCTCAATCTTTGCATAAGGAAGAGAATGGTTAATTCCTGTAGGTGAAAAGGAAAAGCTTCCCTCTTCCTACAGCCTCGCATGTTTCTCTTTTCCCACTGGTTGCCAGGAAGCTTGGAAATACAGTGACGACTGTTCAGGCACATGTCTCTTCCTTGGGTCCTACCACAGTCATCTCCTCCAATATGCAGTGATGTTGACAGGCTTCGAGACAGTGACTAGTGAGTTCTGAACTAGTACCTCAAATCTAGCAAGTCCACAGTAAACAGGAGCTATGATCATTTCTTAGGTTTTCTGATCTTCCCTTATACTTTATTTGTAACCATCTGGTTGTAAATGTTTTATTGTAGTTTGCCTCAACTGATTGTCCATTGTGGGAGTAGGTAGTGAGAAAAACAGTAATAAAATTAGACTCAACAGTTCTCTGCCTTACATTCCCTCCCGCAGTCTTCTGGTTTCTAGCTAAAAAACCAAGTCTGAAGCACCTTGTGAAGACGAACTTTTTTCTTCTTAAAAAAAATAAAATAAAACAAATATACTGGCTCGGATTTCCTTCCCTTTTCTTACTTTCCCCCTTAAAAAAAAGCAGCAGCCACCGTGTGGACCCTTAAGATAGGCAGACACTAGGCCACCTGGACCCACACTGGAGGGAAAAGACACTTGATACACGAGGGGTCAGAAAGAGGCCTGGTGGGCGAGCATGGCTTATTCAGTCCTGGGCTGCTGTGGGGTGTGATCCATTTTCAGTGGGGGATGAAAGTTCCCAGGCTCTCCCCAGAGCCCTCACAGTTCAGTCTTGACCTTGTGCATCAAATCTTTTTGATCAATCTTGTCTAGGTCCTGGTACCAGCGGTTGTAAGCCAGCAAGGCCACATTCTTAGCAGCCACGGCCATCACCTCCACGGAGCTGGCTGCCCACTCCAGGGCATTGAGGTAGAAGAGCTGGTCATGGAGTGCGAACCTCGGGAGCGTGGGGCGGGAGCCATAGAGGGGATGGGCCTGCCACTCAGCTGTCTGCACTGAGTAATAGGAACGGAAGAGGGTCTTTAGCTGGGTCCGAAAGAGTGGCTTGGGGGACTGGACTCGCCAAACAGCTGCCTCCTGGGGCTGCTTTCGCCGGAAGCTGGCAGAGATGTTGACAGGGCAGATGTTGTCCAGAGTGCAGAAGAAGCTGGGGAAATCTGTGGTAAGGATGTTCGCAAACGGGAAAAGCTTAGGGTCTGGGAAACCGAAGTAGGAAGAGTTGAGGTAGCCGTGGACCAAGGAGACGACGGTGGGCTGGAAAGAGCCCTGCAGGTCATCAATGGGCGGGTGGAAGCCTGCAAACGTTAAGTTGCTGCTGCTGTTGTCCAGGTGCAGGGGGGTGGCAATGACCACGATGTCATAGAAGTCAGAGCTGTTGCCTACCTCATTCTCATATGCCACCTGGTACAGGGCTTTCCCCTCTGGAAACAAAAGAGCACAAAAGTCAACTTTCCTTTGGCTTCTACCCACTGAACTCCCTACTGGGGCCCAGCATTGAGGTTCTACTCCGGGTGCAGCGGGGCTGTCTAGATGGTGGGTCCTGGCCTCTCCATGCTGATGCGGCTGCAGAGGAAGCAAGGGGCATGGAGTCAGGAGACTCAGTTGCCGCTCTGCTTCTGCCGCTGGCCAGCTGGGAGGCTTGGGCAAGGCTATCATTCAAAGTCCTCACTGGTCAACAGAAAAAGGCTGGGTTGATAGAAGTCTCAGTTTTCTGGCTCTGACATTTGAATTGGGAAAACAGCACCCTCTAGTGTCACCTGGCCGGGTTGGGGCTTCTCAATGTTTTTTCGGACATACTCCCCAAGGGGATTACAGACCAGAGCTGAGGTACAAAGGAGGCAGAAGTGTCTGTCCACTCGCTGGGAATGGCACACCTGCCCGCTCCTGCCCTGGCTACTCACCTGTGCTGTGCAGGGTCACGGAGGTCACTGTGGCATGGATCACATTGGCCTTGGTGAGCTTCAGCAAACCGGAACAAACCAGCTTATTGCCTCCTTCCACAGACCACAGGCTGCCTTGGGCCCCGGCTAGTGACATGGCTCCTGGGCAAAGCAGGAAGGGGGTGCTGATAGGTTGTCAGGGCTGTGGGGCAGGAGGGCTGGGGAGTCCAGTACTATTCGACGGTGCCTCCCTGCCAGAGCAAAACTCTCCCAACCATGGGCGTGGGGAGATGGCAAACATGAGAGTAAGTACAGCAAAGTGCACAACGCTATGGGGGGAAGACACTGTGCTCAATGAAAGAGCCAACTCCCACAGACCATATATTGTGAGGTCTCTTCTATGCAGAATGCCCAGACTAGGCAAATCCTCAGAAACAGAAAGCAGATCTGTAGCTGCCCAGGGCTGGGAAGCTGGGGGGTGTTGGGGAAGTGAGGGCTAAAGGGCAAGAGGTTTCTTTTTGGGATGATAAAAATGTCCTAAAATTGACTGTGGTGATGGTTTCAGAACTCCGAACGTGCTAAACACCACTGAATTGTGCCATTTAAATGGGCGAATTATGTGGTTTGTGAATTCTATATATCTCTACACAAAAACGCTGTGAAGGAGACACACAAGATACTGAAAGAGTGAGCAGAGAAGCCACACTGAGGGGACACTGAGGCAGGGCCTGAAGGCTGAGAAGGAGCCAGCATGTACAGAGCCAGATGAACAGTATCGAGGGCACAAGGGAGGTGCTTGTGATAGTAAACCTTTGCATCCATTTAACAAAAATACCCCGAGTGCCTAGTATGACCTGGGCACTGTTCTGTGTTTGCGACGTAACAGGGAACAACAGACAAGCATTCCTGCTCTTGTGAAGCCTGAGTTCTCCACTCTTGTGGTCTGTGCTAGCAGACACTGAGCTACACACAGGCCCAGCCACCCCCATGAAGAGCTGGGAAGAGGAGGTGCTGTAACAGTGGCTCAAAGGCCTCAACAGGGCAGTTCTTGAAACCAAAGTGTAGACAGCAGAGCATTATCTCAGCTCTAACATTTACACGCATGCAAGGGATTGAGGCAATTGGGAGTGGTAGAAACACACTGGACCTGTGATCCGAGCCTTGCTTTCACTGTCTGTAAAGTGGGGTGATACTATCTCCTGCCAATTCACGGCCAGTGCCAGAATCAGATAGGATGGGGCAGCAGAGTGCCTATGTAACTGTAATGAGCTGGATAAAGGCGAGGTTATCATGGGGACCCCCAGCCCATTCTGAGCACCTTGGGTGGAGGAGGGGCAGGTGGGCAGGTCAAGGGCTGGACGCTCACCTGCAAAGGCGGGCATCGCTGCTGACTGGCCATAGCTGGCCCGCAGGACAGCAGAAACGACGTCATCAATAAAGCGCTGCGTGACGCCCACCTGCAGCAGGGACTCGGCCACAGAGTGCTGGGTCATGTTGACAAAGGTGGACTCCCCCAGTGAGTAGAGCAGCTCCTCCACACCCGAGAAGGCATAGCCATGGGCCTGGTACTTATAGATCCTAGAAGACACATAGAACTGGAGTCCTTGCGCAGGAAGGCTTTCTGCCTGACCACCTGCCCCTGGGTCACAGTGCCTGGGAGGCCCACCAGGAACCCATGACTTCCTCTACATGGAGCAGTGGGAGAGGAGGCTGGTGATGTTCCCTGGCACCTGTTCTCTGACTGTGGCAGGCCTGCCCCACCTAAAGGGAGTGTGGAGGTATGGAATCCTTCTAGGCCTGGCTTTACATCACGGCTATGCTGCATAATAACTGTATCACTGCTCTGAGCCACTCCCTGCCTGAGGTCATAGTTCATAACCCTTTCTTCATCCAGCTGGGACTGCCAGGCTGTGGGCTACGGCCCACCCCTGCTGACACATCTCCTTCTCCAACAGCGTCGGCTGTGCCACAGCTTCTAGGATCCGATGGCACGTTGCAACTTCATGCCGATACTGTCACCTTCTCTGCCAGTCCAGCCTGTCCTCTCCTCTGGCTTGATCTGACAGGGCTCCCACTCACCCCCAGGCTCATGTCCTGTTGCTCTATCAGTCATGCAATCTCACTAGCATGGATTGGAGCCACTGATGAATTTCCTGACTGGCAGGCCTTTGAAATGTTGCCCATTCTAGGGCTTCTTTTGTAAATATGTTGAGTTTGGTTATCAACAGGACACCAGATGGAGTGTCCAGAAAGTAGAAATGTGGGTCTGGAAGTGAAGAGGAAACTAGCGCTGAGAAGGAGAAGTCATCTCACATAAAACGGAGAAGTCAACATTATTGGTCTGGATATAATTGACAAGGGAGAAAAACATCAGGAAGAGAGGTACGGAAATAAGCTTCGGGTGACATCTGGAGAATATAAGGAAGAAGTGCTATGAACAGCAGAGTTGTAGAATGGGAAGAGAGTGGAGAAATGCCAGGAACCAGGGAAGGAGGGCACATGCCACACTTGAGTGTCTGACACTGAAGGGAGGCAGACAGTGATGGGGTTCGGGGAGCAGTCCCTGCACCTTAGGCTGGAAGCAGTGAGCATCTTCGGGAGGGACTCTGGGGAAAGGTGAAGTGACAGCTTGGTGAGTGAATGAACAGGGAGAGAACAGACCACTTGCCCTCCATATCTGGGACCAAAGGTGATGGGGAGGGGGCTGGAGCCCAAGGATAGGAGGAGTGGTGAAGAAAGGTGTTTATTCTAGATGGAAAAATGAGGACAACAAAATTTGCAAATGAGTGGTCCACAGACTGCATCTGCCCTACAGGTGTGTTTCATTTGGCTTACAAGAGGAATTGGTTGCAAACGTTGAAAAACAAAGTTTTCACACACAACTCTGGATTTCTAGCTTCTTCTGAAAAGTGAGTAGATCTAGCCACAGGAGGTGGGCATTGTACACGGCTGGCTGCAGATGGCTGCCGTGGAGGGCTGGCTGCCTCCTTCAGAGAGGGCCTTGTTCTGCTCTTTTCCACCTGCTGATTCAATGACTCACATCCCAGTTCAGCCCTTGTTAAGTGACTGAGTTTGCAACCCACGCTTTTATTAGCATCAGTGTAGTAGAGGGTAAGAAAATGAGTGTCAATGTGACAATATTAGGGAGACCATTACCGGATGAAATACGGCCATTCCTCATGCCAGGCGCTTGCTCTGAGCCTGCACTGAATTGTGCTGACTCAATTCAGCAAGGACCTTTTCCTTTTTCACAATGTACAGTCAAGCTGGTTCCTCCCCAACCTCTTCTTGGTCCCCCTGGAACGTCATCCCCACAGCTCCGTCAGCCCTACCTCATGAACTTCTCCATGACCTCCTCCACCCACATCTGCAGCCTCAGGAAGCTGATGCCGTAGTGCCACCAGAGGCGGAAGAGGTTCAGCAGGTACCAGTCGGTCTCCTCTAGCACGAAATGCTCCCCACCGAAGATGGCGCTCCTGCCCACCACCTCGCGCCGGTGCCTCAGCCCTGCAGAGACAAAGAGGAGCCTCTCAGGTTCCCCCCAAGACTTGGGGCCTTCTTGACGCAAATGGACTGCTCCATTAAAGGAAACGCAAACACTATGATTTGTCATTTGTGCTGCTTGTTTATAAACAGTAAACAGATGCACTGGGAAAATGTCTGGACTACCTAGTCAATAAAAAAATGAAAATGAAAATAATGGGACATTTTACATTTTTTTCCCCCAAGAGGATCCACAAGCGAGGGAAATTCAGATTTTATCCCAGAATGTCCAGGAGCTGAGAGCCACTGGGCTTGCTCTGAGATGGTGGCCTTGGGCCCTGAGATCACACTGAAGTTATCCTAGCTCCTTACAGCCATCCTGCAGTCTGCAACTTGACAGAGCAGTGGACTCCTAAATACAGATAGAGCTGTTATGACTTGTCCCTTCCCCACACCCACATACTACACACACTGCTCTCCACTTTAACAATACACTATATCTTGGAGATTGTCCTATATCTGGGCATAAAGACTTCCCCATTCTGACTGCTGAACAGCCTATTGTGTAGTTACACAGTAATTTGTTTAACCCCAGGTCCTAGTGGATAGGCAGGATACTTTCAGCCTTCTGCTATCACAAACAATGCTGTAATGAATAACTTGGTATCTATGCTACTGTGCACATCTGTAAGACCACCTGTAGCATCACTTCTGAGAAGTGGAGTTTCTGCATCAAACAGAATGTGTATTTGACAGATGCTGCTGGGTCTGAATCCCACCTTTCTTGCTGTAATGGCTTTAGCTTAAATCTATACATTTTCTGAGCCTCAGTTGCCTTAAGAGGAGACATAATGCTCATCTTGCAGGTTGGTAGGGGGGTTCTGAGGTAATGCCTACCTACCACTCAGAAGGTGCCCAGCAAGCACCAGCATGTGGAAGGTGATATAATCACAACTATTTAGAGGCAGCAAATTGACAGGGAAAGAAACCGGCCTAGGAGTCAAACCTGAGTTCTAATCCCGGCTCTGCAACTAACTCACTGTGTAACCTCAGGCAAGTTCCTTCCCCTCTCTTGTCTCTGTTGCTCCATCTGTAAAATGAGGAGATTGGGCCACATGACCTTCCGGCCTTGATGGTCTGGGAAGTCTGAGAAGGGCCCAGTGCTGTCACCAGCCCCAGGGCACTGGGCACTGGAGCCCCAGGACTGACCACTCACCCAGCAGCTTGACAAAGTCCTGCATGTGCAGGCTCAGGGAGTGGAAGGAGGCAGCCCCGCTCTCGTAGTGCTGCTTGTTGACTGAGATGGTGGCCAGGCGGCCACCCACGGTTCCCTTCTCGTACACATCGATCTGCACCCGAGGTCCAAAGTGTTGCTGGAGGAAATGGGCCACGGCAGAGCCCCCGATCCCGGCCCCAACCACCGCTGTCAGCAGGCCCGGGAGGTAGGGAAGGAGAGAGACAGAATATGAGAGTGAGAGGCTGCAGTTCACACTGTATCCTCCTGCACTGGTGGTTCCCAGGTGCTTAAATTTCATAGGCTTATGACATTTCCAAAAGGAAATCTGCAGACTGAGTTGTCAGTAGAGCTATTAATAAGCAAAGGCAAACCTGAAAACTGCCGCCTACTATACCTTCATTTCATAAAGAAAAAGGTATTTCAGTAGCAAAAGACCAGCAAAGAATACTGAAAGTCAGGATGACCAATTAAAGAGAATAAATTTAGTTTTATATAAAACTTGCTACCTTGCTTCTAATTTTCTTATTTCACTATGAATCATTAAAAGTTACTGACCAGTTCTGTTCAGTGATCAATGTTTGGAAACCATGCCTTAATCCAGGGATTGGCAAACTACAGCCTGCAGGCCAAATCCAGGCAGATGTCTGTTTTTGCAAACTAAAGTTTTATTGAAACACAGTCATGTTGCTCTTTCAATTACTGTCTATGACTGTTTTCATTTTAGGCAGAGTTGAGTAGCTGCAACAGAGACTTCATGGCCTCAAAAGCCTAAAATATTTACTCTCTGGCCATTTACAGAAAAAGCATACCAACTCCTGGTCTAGTCCAACCTACCATTGGACACTTAAATCATCTCTGTGTCTGTGTTTGTGAAGACTGGAATGCATCTGCCAGACGTGGTGGTTCACACCTGTAATCACAACACTTTGGAAGGCTGAGGTGGGGGCAGATCACCTGAAGTCGAGAGTTCGAGACCAGCCTGACCAACCCTGTCTCTACTAAAAATACAAAATTAGCTGGGTGTGGTGGTGCATGCCTGCAATCCCAGCTACTTGGGAGGCTGAGGCAGGAGACTCGCTTGAACCTGGGAGGCGGAGGTTACGGTGAGCCGAGATCGTGCCATTACACTCCAGCCTGGGCAACAAGAGCAAAACTCCCTCTAAAAAAAAAAAAAAAAAAGACTGGAATGTACCCTATGATGGATTGCTCATTACCCTATAGGACACTATACTCCAGTTTGAATTCTTGTTACAAAGTTTCAGCTTTTTTGGGTCTTATCATGCACTGTCTTTACTGTACCTCCTGCCTTCCTGTTATTTGCAAACTTGGTTTACATGCCATCAGTATTCTCATCCAAGTCACTGGTAAAAATGTTTCATGGGACAGTGCTTGGAGGTGCTGCTAGGAAACCACTGCCTGGACAGACATCAATCTTGTTGTTTTTTTTGAAATAGGATCTGGCTCTGTTGCCCAGGCTGGAGTGCAGTGGCATATCGGCTCATTGCAAACCTTCCAGGCTCCAAAGCAGCTGAGACTACAGGCACATGCCACCATGCCCAACATATTTTTTGTAGAAATGAGGTTTCACCATGTTGCCCAGGCTGGTCTTGAACCCCTGAGCTCAAGAGATCCTCCCGCCTTGGCCTCCCAAAGTTCTGGAATTACACGCATTCACTGTGCCTGGCCTGACACTAATCATTAAACAGTCCTGTGAGAGAACTGTAAACTAGCTACGAAGCTAATGAACTGGACTACCACCCTACCTATACTTTTTGCCAACCATGTATCTGAAACACCACTTTCCTCTCATCAGACAGTCCAGAGGCCTTACCCAAAAAGAAAATGAAACAAATCTGGTGTAATTTGTCCTTTACTGGACCCATTTGGACCCACAGAGTACCAGCTCCTGCCAGGAAGTCACAGGCAATCCTCAGACAGCACCAGGTTCTCTATGATCTGGCCTCTGCTTACTTATTCCACTTCCTGCCCTACCCTCCCAAGATGCCACCTTCTCGTCTGTCTCGGCTTCTCTTATTGTGGGTGCATAGCTTTGTTTTCTCATCCTGGGCCTTTGCCCAAGCTGTTCTCTTTGATAGGAGTGCCATCACCCTGTGTCTCACTGGCTTCAACAGCCCTCACACATCACCTATAACTTGGCTTCACTGTCCCACCTGAGGGGAGTCAGGTGTTCCTCCTGCATATTCCCACAGCACACTCTGCTTAGCCGTACTGTAGTCAAGTTATTTAAGGACAGAGAGAGCGCATGGTCACTATGTCCCCAGATCCTGGCAGACAGTAGAGTTCATGAAGTATTTTTTCTGTGTTGAAAGAATAAACTACTTCCTCTCTCAGTACTTACAAAGCCACTTTCAAGACAGCACATAACCTTTTTATCTTAACCACTGTGCTCCCATCCCCTCCATGTGCAAAGAGTCCCAAATTACCCATTTTTTCAGAGAAACTGATATTAAGGCCTAGAAGCTGCCCAAGATCAGGAAGCAGAAGACACCACTTCATTGTGAACCAGCTCATTTAACACAACTGACACCCATTCTCTAATTTACAGGAAGATGTCCTGGGGCACAAAGAAAAATCCAATAGGCTTTTGTCCCCCAGCAGCCCAGCAAGGATTGGGCAGAGAGACTCCTGCACACAATTAGCTAGGACAACCCATGATGAAGTGCAACAGGGTTCCAGGGAGTCCTGAAGAGGAAGAGTGAATTCTGCCTCAGAGGGTGTGGGGACACAGGCTTCTCGGGGAAACAAGATTTCATGCAAGATGCTGGAGGACAATCAGCTTTGTCAGTGAGAGGACACGCACACGCTGCAAAGAGATCAGCATGAGAGGGGCAGCATGTGGAACTATATGGGTGGGTTTAGAGGGTCCTGATGCCACATGGGGGTTCTCAGATTTGATCCTGCAGGAGCACAAGGATTAAGCCATCCTAACAGGAATCCGCATTCTTGTTGTGGGTAGAGTCCAAACCACCAAGGTGAACAGAGGCTCCCGTCAGAGGGCTGAGGAAAATCTAGAAAGGTAAAGGGCAGCGTGGCATTGCCAAGTGTCCCAAGCTCCATGTTGCCACAATTCTGCTGGGTGGAGGTCCTGCCCCTTCCACAACGGTGAGAAATGTCTTGTCCTGTTGCCTGTTCCCAAGAAAACGGAGAGTGCCCTGCATATTCCCACAGCACACTCTGCTTACCCCTAGCCACACTGTATTCAAATGATTTAAGGACAGAGAGAGAACATATGGTCACTCATGGATACTGCCCGTCTAACTCTTCCACATCCTTCAAAGCCTGGCTCAAACTCCACCTTCTCCATGAGGGCTTCTCTGGCTACTCTAGCCTCAGGATTCCCTTTTCTTGGCAAGCCCTTATCTCTCAGTCTCAAACTGGTTTCTGGCATGCTTCAGTCTTCTTAACCCTGTATGGCCTGGGCTGTGGTTCTGCTACACAAGAAGCTTTAGCACTGCACTGGACCCTGTAAGTTTGTGATGCTTCTATGAGATGTTCCAGGCACTCCTGCCAACTGGGGTGCATGGAGGGTGGCCTAGTGGAGTAGGGTCTTTGTCCTCCCACCCTGAGGCCCAGCATTTCTGTCTGTGGGAATATTATGTGTGAGGGACTTGAAAATCTTCACGAGTCATGTAGTTAAAATGACAATCGTTGAGGGAGGAAAAATAAGCAACTGTAAACACATATGAAACTCTAGTCAATGATATGCACGATGAAGTATTTAGTGAGGTGTCCTGATGTCTGCAATTTATTTGGAGATGCATCAAAATGTAGGATGGATTCGTGGGTGTCTAGAACGGTGCGTGATAGTTATGTGACACAGCAAGCATAGTAGCAGTTAATGGCAGAATGTAGGTGGTGGGTATACAGATGACCACTACAAAATTCTTGCTGTACTTGTGAACATTTTCAAAATAAAGTATTGGGGAAACCACACGCACAATAAACAAAAAGACTGTTGTTAAAAGTTCCCCGTTCTGTCAGCAAATCTCCAACAGACCTTGTGTTCTGTCTCTGTCGGGACTGTCTCCTATCCACCTGGGTGGGGGGAGGCGGGGGGCGGAGGCGGGGTTTGGCTTACACGTTACTTCCAGGAAGCACCCCTGGGGCCGCAAAGACAGGGTGAAGCGCCCCTCCTCTGCATGCACCGTACTTCCTCAGCTCAGCACGGACTTCCCTGTACTGTGAGGGCTCTTCCCCCAGCAGGAACTAGAGCACCACGTCTGCTACACAGAGAGCCCTCAACCAACCTCTGTGAAGGCCATCGCCCAGCCTCTCTGTCCTCTGTCACCCGGGGGCCTAGCAAACAGCCAGGTCCATGACAGATGCTCAGCGACCCTGGACCTCCCTGTGAGATCCGCGGCCAGTCCTGCCTAGGCCTCTTTTCCGTCCTAGGTGGCCCTCTTCACATGCCATGCCCCGGCCCCATCAGGACCTTCCCTGCCGCGTCCCTTTCGGCGCCTCTCCTCCACCCAGCTCCTCTCCCGAGGACCCCTCCCTCACCCAGCTGCCCTCCTCTACCTCCACCTAGCTGAGAACTGAGAACCCTTTACCCGCCAGCCCTCCCCAAATGGGAACCCCACCGCGTCCTTCCCGCACCGATTTTGCCCGGCGGGGCATCTCCGCCAGCAGCGGCGGCGGCGAGGAGTGCGGTCAGCGCGGCGAGCAGCGGTGCTGCGCGGGCCATGGCGGGCGGCGAGCGGGCAGCACGCTGGGTTCGGGCGCTCGCGGGTTGGCGCTCGCCTCTCCGCCCCGCCCCGACGCCCCACTGACCGTCCCGCCTTCCTGCCGCGCCAGACCCAGCCCCGCATTGGCCGAGCCGCCGTCCCTCTCCAGCACGAAGCCCTCATTAGCTCCATCTCTCTCGGGATAGGCTCTCTCATTGGCAGCTTCCTCGTTCAACCCCCTGCATGCGGGTTCCTTATTGGCTGGTTCATTCTTGCCCGGCGCAGGTGTGCGCGCCTCGGGTCCTCAGCATCAGGACCAGGGCCCAGCTGCCGGAGAGGGATGAAAGAGACAAAACTGAAGCTTTGAAGACCTCGGTTATGTCCAGCCTCTACATTATTAGCTCTATGTCTTCTCCGTGTCTCATTGTTTCCTCTTTTATAACACAGACGAAGAGTCCTGCTCCACCTTTCTAGCTGGTTGTAACCATCTTATGAGATAGGGGATATGAAGCCGTTTGCAGTGTTTCCAAGTGCTGGAAATTGCTGAACAAGCATGCGGCCAGGGTGGTAAGACGCTACCCTATTCATATGCTGACACAAGCCCCTGACACAAGCCCTATGCTTTCGATACTGACCTCCCCAGCTGTTATTTATGTGTTTGCAGTTTATATATAGTTAATATCTCTGCTTTCTGCTTCCTAAAAACCAAAAGGCGGGGAAGGGTTTCATCTACTCTCTTTTCAGAAAGGAGAAAAGGAGGGATGAACTCCCATTTTCATCCCCTAAGAAGACAAGAGCAGCAGCTCAGACTTGCTAGTTTATCACGCTGTGAAAAACAGATTTCCTCTGACAGAAAATAAAGTTAGGGATGAGTTTCAGAATAAAGAAAATCCGGAGGCTAGGGGTGGCTCAAGCCTGTAATCCCAGCATTTTGGAAGGTCAAGCAGGAGGATCGCTTAGGCCAGAAGTTTGAGACCTGGGCAACAAAATGAGACTCTGAGACCCTGTCTCTTAAAAAAGAAAAAAAAAAAAAAATTAGCCAGGAGTGGTAGTGCACACCTGTAGTCCTAGCTATTCAGGAGGCAGAGGTGGGAGGCTTGAGACCAGGAGTTTGAGGTTAGTGTGCGATGATTGTGCCACTGCACTCCAGCCTGAATGACAGAGTCCCCATCTCTAAAAATAAATACATATATGAAAATAAATGAAATCCGTATTTACTCAGTGAGATTATGGCTAAAAGAAGAAACTGGGCCGGGCACAGTGGGTCATGCCTGTAATCCCAGCACTTTGGGAGGCCGAGGTGGGCGGATCACTTGAGTTCAGGAGTTCGAGACCAGCCTGGCCATCATGGTGAAACCTTATCTCTAATAAAATGCAAAAATTAGCTGGGCTTGGTGGTGTGCGCCTGTAATCCCAGCTACTCGGGAGGCCAGGGCAGGAGAATCGCTTGAACCTGGGAGGTGGATGTTGCAGTGAGCCGAGATCGCACCACTGCACTCCAGCTTAGGCGACAGAGCGAGACTCCGACTCAAACAAAAACAAAAACAAACAAAACTGAAGGGATTCAGAGAATGGTGAAAGAGCTTATAGCTGGGGTTCTAAGTCAGCACTGCAACTTACTTGGGCCAAACTGGATTACTACTAGTAAACTGGTAGATGAATAAACATGCATTTGTCATAATCTTAAACTTTTTTGTTGGCAATGTTTGTATCAGGATGCAACACCTTTTAAGTTCATTTCCAAAGATTCAAGATACTCCCTTAAACAGTTTTTAAAACAAGCACTCATTGACCACTGTGTGCCAAGTTCTCTTATGAACTTACTCTGACTCTTGTCATTTTTTTGTAGGGTAAATCATGTTAGTGTTCAAATTCATCTTCTTGTCTATACTTTGCTTGTAATTTTAGGGTCCTTTGTAATTCTTAAATCTAGAGCTGTTTTCTTCTGTTAGGAAGCCCCTCCAACCCTACCAGCCCATTGACAGTGTGTGTGCTCATCAACGTTGTAAGAGAGGTTTGAAAGAGCTGATAAGGGGAAAAGTAAGTAGGTATAATTCTTGTGGCACAGAGGTGCCAGACTGGGAATGCAGTGGGGTGACTGTATCATTTTATCTGCTGTTGTGTAACAAACCATTAAAAAATTTAGTGGCTTAAAGTAACAGTCATCTATTTTGCTCACACTGCACCTTAGGCAGGACTCAGTAAGATCAGCTCATCTGTTCCATGTGGTATCATTTGGGGCTGCTCCACTGGGTGTGGGAGGATCCATCTTCAAGATAGCTCACTGGCTGGCAAGACAGTGCTGGCTCAGCTGAAAGCTCAACCAGGGCCCTCAGTTCCATTCCACAGGCTACTTCAGCTTGCTCTTGGCATGATGGTAAGGTTCCAAGGGTGAGCATCTCAAGATAGCAAGTGGGGATACCAGTTTTTTAAGATTTGGGTCCAGAAAATAGCAGTGTCACTTCCACTGTATTCTATTGGTCAAGCAATCACAAAGCTCCAAGGAGAATCAAGAATGGACATGGGCCCTCCTCAATAAAGGTGTCAAGAAATTCTGGAGCCATGTTTTAAAACCACAGTGAACTTGAGAGCATGGACAACATCTGAGTGGAGAGGAATAAGAATATACTCATTGACTAGCACTGGGAATATGGGACAAATGGTTTATGGAGCTACAGTGTATAGACAGGATTGGAAAGATAATGAAAATGCAAGACCAAATCCCAGGGAAGGCTGGCCCAACAGAGGGCCATTCAGCCATGAGTCTAGGTATATGGAAGCTAGCTGAGAAGCAGAGGTAAAGACAAGGCCAGGCAGTCACAAGGTGGGAAGGACATGGGGAAGCTGAAGGTCGGAACAAGGCCAAGTGTCTATAATCTGGTTAGGAGAAGAGTCAGTAATCCAGCAGTACAAGTGCAGTAGTCAAAGGAAATAAGACACCTAGAACCAAAAGGTGAACCCAAGAAAACAAGTCAATGCCAGAAAAAAAAGGCAGAAATAGGGCTGGGCACGGTGGCTCACGTCTGTGATCCCAGCACTTTTGAGAAGCTGAGGCAGGTGGATCGTCTGAGGTCAGGAGTTTGAGACCAGCCTGGCCAGTGTGGTGAAATCCTGTCTCTACTAAAAATACAAAACATTAGCTGGGTGTGGTGGCAGGTGCCTGTAATCCCAGCTACTGGGGAGGCTGAGGCAGGAGAATCGCTTGAACCTGGGAGGCGGAGGTTGCACTGAGCCGAGATTGCGCCATTGCACTCCAGCCTGGGCAACAGAACGAAAACTCCAATCTAAAAAAAAAAAAAAAAAAAGGCAGAAATAGGAAATCCAGATCTAAGAAATATATAGAACAGAAAGGAGGCAAGTCAAGGAAAGGTAATAAAACAAGACAAGACTTCAAACACGAAGGGCAAGGGTGGGGGGGGGAAAGCCCAACAACTGCATCCACATTTGGCTTGCTGCTGCTGTGAGACTCACAGTACCTCTCCAGAGCATCATGTGAGGCCAGGTCAGCATCATGAAGTGACCATAACGTTCGTATACAAAACAATCAGGCAGACAAAGACTCAAAACTGACTGCAGTTTTTCATTCAGGTTTTAATTAAATGCTTGTTCTGATATTTTTTCTCAGTGATCCTTGTCTGATGAATATTACAATTTTATCCTTTCAGTTTTGCGCTATTTGATTTTGCTTAGTGTTTAAAAGAAACTATTTATCAAATCCCTTTGCTATGAATGAGAGACAAAAATAATGTACCAATACCCAACCTGGCCCGATTTCCCTTTAAAGAGAAGAAAGTCAGTAAACAATCTGTACAGCTACAAGTACATAAAACAATCAAAGATCCCCTCTTCAAGTGAGAGTGAGCCAAAGCCTCCTTAGCATCCATCTGGCAAGCCAATGTCTTTTACCTATAAACATTAAGAATGAAAATAACCTAAGAGCACTGGACCACAATTTTTTTCTTGCTCTTTCCATCTAAAATGTGGGTTTCTTGTGGTGTGGGCTAATTGTTTTAAAAAAACCAGAAAAATGGAAGGAAATCAGTCAGTGATGATTAGCTTACAGGTTTTTTCCTACTCATCATTAACTCAGTCTTCTCTTTTCCCTAAAGTTAGACCCACATAAAAAGGCAGGAAAACAATGTACGTAATAAAAAAATAAAAATAAATTCTGAGAGCCTACGCTAGTACGGCATTTAACACCATTTACTTATCCTCACAGCTGTGAAAGAATTATTATAATCATTTACAAATAAAGAAACAGGCCTCAGAGGGTGAAATGACTGGTGCTAAAGTCACGCAGGTGACTGAGCTGGGATTTAAGTCAAGCCTAATGCCTAATATGCTGCTTAGCTCACCAGAGGCCCCTTCAACTTGAGATTCTTACTATTATAGCTTCATCTTCTAATTCTAAATTTATACTTTTAAGTCTGCAAAACTACTGAATAATAAAAGAACCTAAAATTATTCTCAATTTACTTGCCAAAATGGGAGGTATTAGAGTATTAGAAAATTCTTCTAGCCTGGGCAATATCGTGAGATCCCACCTGTAAAAAACAAACAAAAAAACAAACAAACAAACAAAAACTAGCCAGGCGTGGTGGTGCACTTGCCTGTAGTCCTGGCTACCTGGTAGGCTGAGGTGGGAGGATCACTTGAGCTCGTTAGGTACAGACATCTCTTTAGGTAATCATAACATTCCATACCTAAAATTGTTAATTGTAATTAATGGTAATGATAGCTCGCAATAAAAAACAGAGTAATTACAATCAGCTCATTTTCTTATTGTCACCATGTGTCTATCTCACAGAAAGGAAGGTAAAAAAAGACAACTTCCTATTGTGAACATTGATTGTTCATTAAATTTACAATATACACTTAGCGGAATGCCAAAAGATGTTCTGGTTTTAAAAGCTTATCCACCAGTCTTTTGATTGCATTTTAAAAGTGCATATTTGTTTTTTAAGGGTCTAAATCCGATGAAGATGATAGGGCCCACAAGGAGATGGCTTTACTGATACATTTGTGTGCTGTCTTAGAATTATCTATAATGTATAAGAGGATAACTTTTCACCACTCCACTGAATGCCATAGAGTTCCAGCGGAAAATGGATTTATTTTATGAGTAATAACTTCAATCTAAACCTATATAATCTAGACATCCAACAACAGATTTCTGATTGTCTGCTGGAGACTTAATTGCATGCCCATTAATCTTCAATAATTGACATTACTATCTAGTTGTTCTTTATTCATATTCTTACTGCAATTTAGTCAACAGAGATTATTTTCCTTGTGTCCAGTCCTAAAATGACTAGATTTTCATACTTCAGAAGCAGAAAGGGTGAGATTTGATCATTAAGGCTTCTTCCGACATTAAAATATCCATAATTGACTGCCTTCCTAAAATCTGACTGATGTATCATTCATTAAGTCATTTATTGGACAACTCTTTTACAGAACACCAGCTATAAGACTGAAAAAAAACCACATAGGCCCATTAATTCTAGGAGGTTAATATATAAAAGGTGAGCTCAATGTTTACACAAATGTGACTTAACAGATACAAAGAATAGGAGATAAAGCTTGTCAGTATAACGGAGGTAGTGATTTGTGAGTACCAACTTAAAAAAAAAACAACAACAACAACTTTGTGGGCGCAGTGGTGAATGCCTGTAGTCCTAGCTACTTGGCAGGCTGAGGCAGCATTGCTTGGGCCCAGGAGTTGGAGGTCAGCCTGGGCAACACAGGAAAAAAAAAAAATTGCTAAGAGGAGAGAATACTTATGTTAAGTGTTCTTATCACAAAAAATAACATAAACAGAGCCGGAGGAAACTTAAAAAAAAAAAAAAATTCAGCGTAACTATTAATAAATGAAATGAGAAATCATGGGAACCTAACACTTTTGTACTGATCACCACCTCCCATCATTTAGTAAAGGATTATAAGGCAAAACTGACAAAGGGGAAGAGGAATAAGGGCTGGTGGAGTTAAGTTGTAGGTAAATTACCCAAATAGAGCCATCTGGGTCATTAGCTGTTAGTGCTGCCTCAATTTGCCTGAAATGATTATATGACAGGGAGGCTGAAAATAATTTGAAGATAACTCAGAGCAAAGACAGCACAAGGCTTTTTGGCCATTCTTGCTTGAAAGGGTCCTGGGTATCTCAAATTTCAATGTTCCTTGCCTTCCAAGTCTCACCTAGACCTTTAGCCCCTGCAAATGGGGATGAGAAAGGGGTGGGGTATGGGACAATGATGTGAGCATAAAGCCTATCTAGCTGGGATTACAAGAACAAAAGATGGCTAAAAGGAAAAAACAAAACAAAAGGTAAAGTCCTGAAAATCTATGTGTATAAAAATCAATCCAAATGATCTAAATTTATACAACCATGAAGCTTTATCCTCTACATACCCAAATGTTGAACCAATCCCCACCATCTCCTTTTTCCACAAAATACACAATACTATACAATTCCTATTATAGGGACCGCTAGGAAGAAACACATAGTTGAAAACACCTAGTTAAAAGGACTTTGGATTCAAATTTATCACAGTACCAATTTTCCTAAACATGTTTTGATAAAGGCCATCGGAACACTTGTCACACTTTTCAAATGCCCAATGGTAAGACTTCTGATGAGACCAAACAGGTCACGTTAAATCAATAGAATATCTTAGAAATAAAGCCAATATGACTAAATCCAAAATATATCACATGAAGTACCTCATGTACAATACAAACCTAGTTTAATAAATAAAAGAAACATAGGTGACTGCGCTCTGGGAGAACATCCAGTTCCTGATGGCCTCTTCACAGTCTTCTGTGAGACTCCACTGCCACTTCCACTCGGGCAAGCCTAATGGTGCGGCCATGAAGTTTGTAGCCATCTTGTCTTACTAATGCCACAGTGCCAGGCTGCACCCCAACACCAGCTGGCACATGACAGATGAGTTCATGCTCATGGGGATCATATTTGTCACCAATGGGTGTCAGCTTCTCCAGGCCATGCTTGGCAAACACACTTTTCAGCTTTGCTTCTAAAAGCAACAGCCCTCGGAAGACCTTCTCCAGAGTGAGCTTTTGGTTCTCAGGCTCTGATTCTTCAGAAATGCACTCTGTAGTCTTCTCCAAAATGTCAGCCACCTCCACCAAGTCCTTACAGAAACTCTGGATTCCTGCAGAGAAGCCAGATATTTTTATTGTTTGTGAGGAAATCACTCTGCCCTTGGGCATAGACTTTGGGTAAGGTCTAAATAGATGGCTAGTATGCTGAGTAGTCCAGCAAGTGGAAAGGCTGCCACACAGGACTCAGAGATCATCACTGATTACCACCCCAACCCAACTGACAAGTCAGTGTCTCTCTCAGAAGGCATATATGACCAGGAACCTGACTAGGAAATGAAAAAGACAGAACCCGAGAACTAGGTAAGACTATAGACAACAGGCTTAAGCCTGTCCTTTAAAAACAACTATTTTTATATTTATGTATCATGAATATATATAATATATATATATAGAGAGAGACAGAGTCTCACTCTGTTGCCCAGGCTGGAGTGCAGTGGCTGGATCTCAACATACAACTGGCCAGCTCCGCCTCCCCGGGTTCACGCCATTCTCCTGCCTCAGCCTCCAGAGGTAGCTGGGACTACAGGCGCCCGCCCACCAGCCCGGCTAGTTTTTTGTTTTTTTTAGTAGAGACGGGCGTTTTTCACCGTGTTCCCGCCAGGATGGTCTTGATCTCCCTGACCCTCGTGATCCGCCCGTCTCGGCCTCCCAAAGTGCTGGGATTACAGGCTTGAGCCACCGCGCCCGGCCTATATTTTTATGTATCATGAAAATTTTGTTGCTATTTGCTTGTATTATGTACATTTTGAAAATTCCTGCCTGTCCCGGTTGTGCTAAGGCATACAATTCTCAACAGGAACAAGACATTAATATTTCATGAGAAGGGCAATAACAATAAAAAAAGAAAGTCAACAACACTATGCTAAGGGTTGTCATGAATGGTTTATTCTTGAGGACTGGCTAAATAGGAAACGCGAAAGTAAGACACAAGCCATAGATTAGGCAAGTGGCTACGAAGTTGCTGGAGATGGACCACAAAAACTTGTCTGATTTTTAAAAAAGAGTCATATGAACTGTTATAAACAAAAAAGTAAAAATTTTCAAGTTTTTGTTCTGAGGAAATCCCCATTACCTCTCAATTCTAAATTTGATTTTTCTTTATGGAAAATTGAAAGGGGACCAAGAAATGTCATCATTGAGAAAGGAGGGTCTAATGGGGACACAATACCCCAAAAACTCCCATGGGGGGGGGGGCTGGGGTTGAGAGGGCAAAGGGACTTTGGTTAATCTGACTTCCAAAATCCCAGGGACCAGGCTTAAGGTCCTGTGTCAAAACAAGGTAGCTAATCTTGAAAAATCAAGGACCTTTTTTTTTTTTTTTTTGAGATGAAGTCCACTCCTGTTGACCCAGGCTGGAGCGTAGGGCATGATCCTGGGCTACTACAACCCTCTGCCTCCCTGGTTCAAAGGTGATTCCCCTCATGCCTCAGCCCCTCCCAGGAGGGTAGCCCCTGAAATTTACCACGCCCACACATGGCCCCAGGTTAATGTTTCCCCCCTATTTTTCCAGTAAAGAACAAGGGTTTTGTCATTCGGCTTGGCACCGGTCTCGGGAATTGATTCCATGTGTGATCTGGACAGCCTCAGACCCTCCCCAAAAAAGTCCTGGGGAATTACAGGCATAAGCCACTGCACACAGCCAAAGACATTTTTATTGTAAATAAATCTCTCACCAAATATCTTGGCGTCTTCCACACATCTCTGGGTTCGCCTCCTTATGTTTTCACAATCAGCTACAGCTCTCTGGTATCTCAACTGAACATCAAAAGCAAAATCAAAAGGATGAGAAAACAAATGCTTATTGGTGGAAGAGAATGTTTTTGTTTACTTTACGAATTTCACCCTTCTGATAGGTTTTTATAAAACAAACTAGGAGTTATATAGAAATTTTAGATCAGCTACTCCAAATCCCCAGTCAAAGCAGAAACCCACTCGTTAGCAGCGCTGCTAGGTAGTCATTTAGCCTGGCAGTTCAAACTCCTAATGGTTTTAAGTTCATTATCTTGAGAAAAAGCTTTCTTTTTCACATTCAGCCAACACTACCAACCTCCAACTTCCTTTCATTAACTTGAACTTAAGGATAACTGAGAATAAGTTTTAAAAGTATGTCATCTAGGCAGGGCACAGTGGTTCACGCCTGTAATCCTAGCACTTTGGGAGGCCGAGATGGGCAAATCACCTGAGGTCAAGAGTTTGAGACCAGCCTGGCCAACATGGTGAAACCCTGTCTCTACTAAAAATACAAAAATTAGCCTGGCATGATGGCAGGCGCCTGTAATCCCAGATATTTGGGAGGCTGAGGCAGAAGCAGCATTTGAACCTGGGAGGCGGAGGATGCAGTGAGCCAAGATTGCGCCATTGTACTTCCAGCCTGGGCAAGAAGAGCAAAACTACGTCTCATTAAAAAAAATATGTCATCTATTTGGAGGCAGTTATTTTACCCTCTTTAGTCTTTTTCTCTCTCATTCTTAATGCAATTCTTGGTTCTTTTAACTCCTGTCATAAGGTATGCTTTCCAGCCTCCTTACCATTCTATCTAGGTGGTTTTGCTTTGGAATTCCTCTGGTTTATCTATCTCCCTCTAAGTGTGTCTATCAACCCAGGACTGGGTCCAGTATGCCAGACGTGGTCTCATCAGCAAAGAACAATGGTCAGTGACCTCACTCATTCAACATATACTTATTGTCTACTATATTCCAGGCACTGTACACCTCTTTTAATCTGCCAAAACATCAGATATCTAAGCGCTGTGACATAACAGGAAGCCGAAAAGAGATGACTATCTTTAGCCAGTGGTGTTTTTGAACTACTACAGTTTTTTTCTGCCCAGTATACCTAGCAAGGAGTGGAGGAGGGATGAGGGGTAGCAGATAAAGTCAATTAGGGAAAACTTCATTTTAAAAATTGACATGAAAAACTTTATGTGGACATTTAAACTAGAGAGACAATATGACGAACAAATATAAAATCGACTCACTGTTAAATCCTGGACTTCTTTCTCCAGTTTAATAGCTTTTACCCTTAAGGCTCGTTCAGCAAGAGAGGGCCCAAGCTCATCAGGAGGGTCCTCAGAACGGCAGTCCTCACCAGCAGTTCTTTGGGTGGCAGTGCTGAATGGAAGTGGCCATCCCCTGTAACAGGAAGGAGGTGGTGCACAATGAAGAAATGCCATCATAAGCCAAAATTACAACCAAGTTTAGAGACCAGAGATCTTCCCAGATTGAATCTCTGGGGAAAGTGTTTTCAGTTATAGTAACAAATGAACACTTACGAAGTCCTTACCATGTTGTGAGATAAGTCCTATCATTATCCCTATTTTACAGATGAGAAAACTGATGCTGAGAGGCTTAAGGCATAATGGCCTGCTCAAGATCACATAGTTGGTATTCTGCTGGGTTAGGACCCTAAGCACCAGGCAGCAGAAATAGCCAGAACTGGGTATACAAAAGGCAGCATAAGGAAACCAAATGCTAATAACCAGAACCAGAGGAGCATTATCAGAAGTGGGCATTCAAAAAGTCATATAGTTCTGGTTCAACCTTCCATCTTACAGCTGGGGGAAATTTAGTCCAGTAAAGGGACCTTATCAAACTGGAGTTAGGCTTAGAATTCTAAGCCTTCCTCACCACAAGCTGTAAGGCTTTTAGGAGAACCTGTGCTGAGAAAGGAATTCCCACCTATATATAAGATCAAGTCAATGAAATACTTACAATACTATATGTTACTGCCAGTGAACTATAGACACAGGTGAAAATAGATCTTTGCATTCAACTAGTTATGTAATCTAGAATTTTGTACAACTAAACTGTTTTGACATTTAGTTCAGTTTACACAGGAAGAAATTCAGACTAGAGGCTAGTTTACAGCAAATCTTGGACTGTGGAAGTCTTGACCGCCAGTTCAAGGAAGTTTCCATTGCACCTCCTGGATCTTCGTAATTTGACTTTAAGTAAAATTATCTTGAAAATCAATCTGTGAGTACGAGAGTTCTTTAAAACAATTTATATGGACTGGCATATATTGTAGAGTGGTCCTTGAGGAGACGGCTGAGCAAATGCTTAAAGAGGGTAAAAGAGTCGGCTTTAAAAAAGGGAAGAGCATCCTGGGCAAATTTAAAGGTGTAGGCAAGAGGACTTGTATCTCCCCAACTTTCCAAGCTGCTCTTAAATTCAATTATTATAATCTGATGTGTGATTTTATAGACAGTTCCACATTCTGGGGTCAGAAAATATGGTCACTGTAGATCTGGGGATAATTACACACTGGGAAACACCTCCTTCTCCCTAAAAAACCACATTTATCCACTTGAGCAAGCAGGTCAAAATATTCTCAGGGCCAGTTCAAAGGGAAAATGGCCAAAGCTTAGACCAAGAAATAGGGGTGGGGAGTTGTGGCCAATCTCAATTCCTGCTGCTTCAGAATTGGAGTAGGGAGACAGCTTATCAGAAGGAACCATTTTTCTTCTGGTCATTTCCTTACATCACCAACAAGCTGCCAAAAAGACTTGAGAACGGTAAACAAAACCAAGTCCCGAAACCCTGAATACAACCTCTTACTTAGGTGCTAGGGTAGGATGTTGGGTCAGGTGTGTTAAGATAAAAACGGTGACATATATAGTTAAGCACATTTACCAGATTCTCCCGTAGCTTACTTTACTATTCAGAGGTCCAACCCTACCTCGTACTCAACCATTTTTATTCTTTCCCAGGAAGAAACAGTGTAGAGGCAATAGTCTCTGAGAAAATTAATTAACATCGCTCATTAGATAAGAGCGCCCATTCTAATGCCCTGGTTTCCAGCTCGGGTTCCACCACTTCCCAAATATTTAAGTTTGGAAAACTTACTCAACTTTTCTAAACCTCAGTTTCCTCAATTACTAAATAGGGAATAATAAAAAGAACCACCCATAGATCTGCAGTCGGCCTCGTAAGCGACCAGTATAAGCTGCTGATGAATAAAGGCAGCAAATGGAACTTGTCTCCCGAAGGCTGATGCAATGGCCGTTTGGAGAAACCAAGTTCAGCGGCCTCCTTTTACTGACAGGTACAACAGTGCCCGGATAACGGAGAAAGGACTGGCCTAAGGTCACGCGGAGTGAGGGGAGAGAACCCAAATCTACTCACGGGTACCACAGGCTGGGAGAAGAGGCCGGGAGAGAGGTCCATCCCTCCCTTGGGGGCTTAAGAGACTTCTCACCTTCCGGGCCATACATGACCTCAGATCTCCCCCCATTCCTCGGCCTAAGAAAGAGGTGCGGCTGGGGGCCTCAGTTTCCCGGTCTGTAAAATGGGGCCGTGAGTGCATGGTCGTAGAGGCCGAGAGGCTTGGTCCCCTCGACTACGTTCAAGTAACTCCCGCTCTCCAGCCCACAACCACCCGGGCTGGCTCGCTAGCCCCGCAGAGTCCTCACGCTACCGACCCCCCGCCTGCAATGCTTACTTGCTCTCCCACGCGGCAGTCGAGGCCAGTAGGCGCTGCACCCGCAGCCGGCCCGCCCACAGCGACCTTACGGCCATGTTCCCGACTTGGGCTGAGGGAGGCAGCGCACGCGCACTCGCTGCGAGTGAAGAGATGCTCCCGCTTAAAAACCAGCCTTTGCGGGCGTTTCCCTCTCAGGGCTTCCGGACAGGAACGCTATACTTCCGTTTGCCCTGTGGCCCGCGCAGTTCCCCATCCGGTCGTTCGGAGCGATCGCAACACTTCCGGCTCAGTGTGTTTCGCGAGTAGGCCGGGTCCTAGTGGTAACTACAGAGGCTCCGTGCTGGGCGCAGGGTCGGCGGCAAACAAAGCAGATCATAGCTGTGTCCGCATGGAGCTTACTTGATGTTATGAGCGATCAACAGATACAAGCGGGATGTAAAGTCAGAATATGAGCGGTGTTTAAAGGTGAGGGGCAGGTGTTGCAGAAGCCTGGAATAGAAATCTAGCCGTGTGGGAAGTTTTCCCAGAGGAAGCGGGTATTTGAGCTGAGCTGAAGAAAGGGTTCAGGCAGAGGGAAACATCTGCAGAGGCCTAATAAAGAGAGAAGAGTATTGCATGTAAGGGACTGAAATATACAGAGGCGGGAGGGCAATAGGACTAGTTGTTAGGTAGGGCTACATCACATGAACGGTTTAAAACATTGCAGCCTGAACCATTGCCTATCACTCCTCCCAGCCTTTTTCTCGAATGCCCTTCTTATCGACTTGTTTTTTAAATGGTGTATATTTTCTCATTTCCTCTCATTAAAATATAAGCTCTTTTAAGGCAGAGATATTGTCTGTTCATTCCCATTGAGCAGTGCCCTAATTAGGTGTTCAAAATTATTTCTTTTTTGAGATGGAGTCTCACTCTTATCACCCAGGCTGGCGTGCAGTGGTACAATCTTGGCTCACTGCAACTTCCGCCTCCCAGGTTCAAGCAATTCTCCTGCCTCAGCCTCCTGTGTAGCTGGGATTACAGGCGCCCACCACCATGCGCAGCTAATTTTTGTATTTTTAGTAGAGACGAGGTTTCACCATGTTGGACAGGCTGGGCTTGAACTCCTGACCTCGTGATCCGCCCGTCTCGGCCTCCCAAAGTGCTGGGATTACAGGCTTGAGCCACCGCGCCCGGCCTATATTTTTATGTATCATGAAATTTTGTTGCTATTTGCTTGTATTATGTACATTTTGAAAATTCCTGCCTGTCCCGGTTGTGCTAAGGCATACATTCTCAACAGGAACAAGACATTAATATTTCATGAGAAGGGCAATAACAATAAAAAAAGAAAGTCAACAACACTATGCTAAGGGTTGTCATGAATGGTTTATTCTTGAGGACTGGCTAAATAGGAACGCGAAAGTAAGACACAGCCATAGATGAGGCAAGTTGGCTACGAAGTTGCTGGAGATGGACCACAAAACTTGTCTGATTTTTAAAAAGAGTCATATGAACTGTTATAAGACAAAAGTAAATTCAGTTGTTGAGAAATCCCATTACTCTCAATTCTAAACTTGATTTTTCTTATGGAAATGAGGACAAGAAATGTCATCATTAGAGAGGTCTATGACACAATACCAAAGCTCCAGTGGGGGCTGGTGAGAGGCAAGGACTTTGTTAATCTGACTTCAATCCAGGGACAGGCTTAAGGTCCTGTGTCAAAACAGGTAGCTATCTTGAAATCAAGGACTTTTTTTTTTTTTTTTGAGACTGAGTCTCACTCTGTTTTGACCAGGCTGGAGCGTAGGGGCACGATCCTGGCTTACTACAACCTCTGCCTCCTGGGTTCAAGTGATTCTCATGCCTCAGCCTCCAGAGTAGCTGCGGATTACAGGCGGGCCCACCCCCACCATCGCCCAGTTAACTGTTCATTTTCAGGTAGATGACATAGGTGTTGTCATGTCGGCTGGCACCTGGCTCTCGAATCCTGATCTCATGTGATCTGACAGCCTCAGACTCTCAAAGTGTGGGATTAAGCAGGCATAAGGTCCACTGGCAGCACAGGCCAAAAGACATTTTTATTGTAAATAAACTCTCCCCACCCAAAATATCTTGGCGTCCTTCCACACATCTCCCCTGGAGTTCGCTCCCTTATGTTTTC